GCGTCTGGTGTCCCGGCGTGCGTATCAGATGGCGATCCGCAATCTCGGGTGGCACGTAGATCGCCCCTACGGTGATAAACGCGGCCCGGATACACCCCTAAGTAAGGTCGCGGGAAATTTACCACGACCTCCCCCTGTCAACGGACGCGCGGAGACAGATACACGTCCGCCGATAAGATTTATCAGAGTTTTCTTGTTAGACGGCGCCGGGCGTCGTACGGATCGTCCCCCTCCGACAGAAATTCGATCCGCTGCATTTTAATGAACCGTTCGCCAGGACGATTGAGTGATTTAAATGGATCGACCGTCTGTAACACAATTATTCAAGAGATCGGTCGAGGAGAGAGCCTCCTTGTAATTTGACGTTCAAAGCGATTCCCAGACACGTGAATTTCGATCGCGCGATCAGACGTCCTTAAATTATTCATCCCTCCTGAGAGGCCACGGGGCTCCGTCCATCCTCCGTCCCTCTCGAACCAAACCTGGCGAAAGAATAAGTGGAAACGGTGCGCCTCCTTTCCACGGCGAACTTTTGTATTAGCTTCTAACAACCGCGAACTTCGGTCACCTAATCTCGTACATTTGCGCCTGCACACCGCCCCCCCCCCGACGACTCTCGCATACATGTCGTTTACTTTAATCTTGAGTTAGGACTTTGTTAACCACCCTTACTGAGAGGGGAAAGTAGACGGTTCTTGGCTACGACCAATTATCTCGGCAAAGGCGTTCCATCGCGAATTATTCGCGGAATGTTTCGGTTGCTTGCCTCCTCTCGATCGTCGAGGGAATTTTTTTTTTCCAAGTAATTTTGCTACCCGGTGCGTTTCCCTATAACGTTCGAAGGTTTTTCAATTCTCCGCGGCGGCGTCGCCGGATCGATAGCGCGAAGCGTTTCGTTATCGCTCGGTAGGAAAAAAAAAAAAGAACACCAACGTAGTTTAATTCCTGGTTCCGATCATTTGCATGTATCGCGGCAGTATTTCATAAAGCAGAAACCTCCGGCGGCCCATTAAAAATTTATTCTCGGCTTAACACCGTTCCCCGAGATCCGCGGCAGACTATAACGCGTTGTAAGTCGAAAATACTGGGAACCGGGAATGGAAAACTCGAGTTCGGCGACTGTCTTGATTCATGGCCGCGCAAGTATACCCGGCACGCGATCTTTCTACCGAAACGACCGAATCTCGATCGTTTTACTATTTCCACGATTTTCCTTGATAGACGTTGCATCGAGGAACGTTGGAAACGAGTCTACCCGAGGCTCGGACCGCAATCTCTAAAGAAATTCGATGTTTGAGTCACTGTAACTTCGAACAGGTTTAATTATAACTTCCTATTTGTTTCAAAAATTTCCACCGAGTCAACCTGCTGTCCAGATATTCGGATATTCCACCGCTTCTTCGCGAAGCGTATCGATACGTATCGATAAATATCCGTTCCGTTTCATTTCCCGGTATAATTCAACGAATCCCGCAAGGAAAAAAAGGTATGGAAGCTTTTGTATGCGCTGGTACGGTCCATCAATTTTTACTTTAACGAGGATCGCTTGGACGTTATTCGACCGAACGTTGAACGTAACAGGCAACAACGACGATGGCGCGCGCGGAGGTGGTCGACGCAGTAATTAACGCGCCAAGTTCCGCCGCGATCCGCCATTGTAGCTATATCTGACCGCGTCAAATTAATAGTCCACGGCGTCTATGCAAACGGGACGCGGAAAATCAACACTTACAATGCCGCGGGAAGCTATAGATTATCCCGCGCGTTATCGGCGTCCGTCGGGGGTTGCCAGGGGGGTCCGGAGGGGTCCGGAGGGGTGTCAATATTTTCCATACGGAGAGCGGCGAAGCGCGATGCGGCAAACCCCGTTCCCGGTGTAATGAGCTGACAATGTAATGTCCAAAGCGAACACGGACCCGGAGACAGGACCCCTCGAATGCTCGTCAATATATTGATGACTGCGTGGACGTCGTCTACGTTCACGACGCGGTATTTCGGACTCGACTTACGCTCGAAGAACAGATTTCTGAACGATTTCTCTTGGGTATTAACATTTTCTAGATTTCTCCGCGTGCATCGATGATCGCGCAAAGGGAGATTAAGAGATCTATAGCGAGGGTGGACGGCGAACGAGCGCCGGATGACACGGAACGTTATTAAAGCTTTACTCTGCCCTATTTCCAGCCGGAGAGATCGTAAAAGGTATTCCGATCCGTGATATAAGACGAGGTGGCCGCGACAATGCGGGGTTTTACGGACGCGGCGTCTCGTCGTAACAGGGCTGGCAATCGACGGGTAACGCGATCCGCCACTTACGCCCTCGCGGAACGTAACGGCGATACCTAATAAAATGTCCCCCGGATTATTTTTCACCCCGAAGGGCCTATACGGAGACCGTAGCCACTGAATCGACGTTACCATTAACGCAACATAATCCGTGGGAGCCGGACACCGCTCGTTTCAGGAGAGCCGTGAAAGAGCCGACAGAAAGGAGACCCATCAATGAAACCCCCTCCGACGGAGTTCGATTCTCGACTCTCTCGGTTTTATACCAAGCGAGATCGATCTGGTTCGATCCCGATTGTTGATCAACCCTTACGACGACCGGCGTCTTATATCCCCTCCGATTAAATCGTAACGAAGTATAAGCAGAGCGATCTTGGCGTCATCGATTCGTCTCGAAGCCGGACAAAGCGGACGAGAGGCGCGACAGCGATGGGGTCGCGTTACATCGACGATCGGGGGTAAAGGGGGGGGGGCATGGAACTCAATTAATACCGGTGCTCGGTTTATACTATATTTCTTGGTTGTGGTATCAAGCGAGCCAGCCCACCTCACGTCTGTCTGCATTTGTTCCAATTCACTTGCTGCCGATTACCGCTCCCGCCAAGCCCGAATCCGCCTGGATCTCACCCTCGACCCCACGTCTGCGTTCCCCATTTTCATCCCTATTCTCCCATTTCCTCTCCGTCAACGTCCCCTCGGCCCTCCGACCCCCCCTCGTTCGTTCCACGACTCGAATCGACTCGGCTAGACTCGATTCGCCGAGGCACAGTGTCGCCTAACCGCACTCGGAGTGTATCGAAAGAGACGACGTAGGTTGCGAAACGATTCGACTCACCGCTGGTCGCCTCGAGCCACTTCCTTCTCGCCGCAACCAACCCCCACCCCTCACCCACACCCCCCAGGTTACAGCCACGACGATCGACCGCCAGCGCGGATCGATCCGGTTTCGTATTTACTCGCGAATGTCAATCAACTCGATACTTGGGAGCTCCAAGACCAACGATTCGAGGCTTTCGGAAAGTTAGCAAGACAGGGAATCGAGAGACCTCATCTCGGCCAGCAAAACGCACTCGGATTGTCAAGTTCGATGACCCCTCCTTCGCCTAACGTTCCAATATTTCGTGTGCCTCGGGCCTCGCGTTGCGTATTTGAGAAAGAAGGAACCACGAAATAAAAAGTGATCGTCTTCTCGATCATCAAGTAGGGGAATGCGTAGATCAATCGTCGCGCGCAGCTCGAGGTCAAATAATGGTCGCACGATATTAAACTATTATTTGCGCGACTAGTAATCCAAATAAGCCGTCGATGATAATACAGTTATGCGGCTCGCGTTATTTATACGGCCAGCCGCGAACGAGTCGCGTAATCGATACACCGGGGGGGGGGACGCGAAAACGAGTTCGCGGGGCGAAGCAAACGCCCCGGAACGCGATTATTCGCGGACGGCCGGCGTCGCGACGCGTCCCGGCCGCCGAGGATATTATTTTTAAGGGTTTGTTTACTCGACCGCGCCGCGGGAGACGCGACCGTGGAAAACGCTCCGCAATCTGGATTCCACATCCGAACTTAATATCCGGCCGAGCTCGTAGACGACGCGAGGAGGTAAAACTAATTTCGTAAATCCTTTAATCTACGCGTTTGCTAGATGGAGAGTGGTGGAAGTCGAAGGAAGATTAAGGGAAGCGAACTGAATGGGTGGGCTCCGCGAGCGTTTGATGGAATATGATGAACGAGCCACCCCGAACTTTATTATTGGCGTCGGGAGATCGAGTCGAGGGAAACAAAAAAAAAAAAATAAAATAAGTTAACGCGCGTCGACGTGTATCGCGAAATTGTTTCTCGAAGAGTCGATGGACCCCTCGTTGCTCGGCAATTGTTTCTATATTTGCGCGTAACGAGATTGCAGCGAGGAGCGAAGATACATGAACTTTTAACATAAATATTCAACCCGGAAGAAGAAAAGACCGTTATAAAACTTTGCGGAACGATCAACCCTTACACGAGTTTATTTAATTTCTGCAGTTAGAGAGTTTGCAGGTATTTCTTGGAAAAAATAGTCCCGGGGAAACTTTCTGCTCCGTGAAAAGTGTTTCTACTTGGACGGAGTGACTATTTTGATTTACTTGCTTCCGCGTCGAACTTCGACCAATACGACAAACCTTTCGCACCCACCTAACAATTCCAAGTTCGCGAGTTCCTCATTAAGTCGCTCGTTAAACGTCGTTTCAGCCGAGGTTTAAGGCAGGTCTAAGGACCATCCAATCAAGGCTTAGGAATCGATTCGTTACATTAATTCCTTCAATCCAGACGAAGGATGGTGCAACAGAGTTGCCAGCGGTGCTTTGCCTCGACGAAGTTAATCGTCTCGGTGGCGTTTTGCTGTTCGTTACGTTCCGACTGTGTCGCGTGGACGTCGAGACTGAATATTCACACGTTTATAGGTCGACGCTTCTTGAAAATTCTAATGAACTAAGAAAACTGTCTGTTAAGCCCACAAAATACGCGCAATCGGGTAATATAAATTCTCATTTCACCCTAACAGATGGGCTAGCAACTCCTATCAAACACTATTCTTTCTTGAAACATGATTGAATATAACGCGGGCTCGTCGGACCCTGAAGTTACCAGCGTCCGCGGAACTTTTCCTCGTACGTCTAGCGCAAGGTTACAGGCTCTCGATCAAGGTATCAAACATCAATTATATCATCACTCACTTCCATACTGCTGCGCCAAGAGGGAAGCGAAAACCTGGCCCGGACTTCGGGCACCTCTCACAGCGGACGAGACGGAGGCAGCTCCAACGGCGTGACGTGTATTTTCCTCGTCGTCGCTGCTCGACTGGGCACTGGGTCCGTAACCGCGCCTCTCTCGCCATTCTAGGGACCGTTGACGGCGCAGTCCACGGTCCCCGTTTCCGGGCCCGCGGCCCAGCGTGCCCTCGCCCTCCATCACTGCGGCATCTGCAACCATTCGACGGAAATTTCATCATCCGTTCTCAACAGAACGCTTCCAATCTCGCAGCGGCGAGATTTTATTAAAAAATTCGCTATTAGTCGCACACTCGATAAAATTTCTCCGTCGTTCCGGCACCGCGTGTTCGTTTTCTCGCTAACGCAATTATATCCAACAACGGGTAAAATAATACAATGAATGGCCACCGTTGTCCAAGTTCCAAGCGATAATCACGGAGCAAAAAACAGTTGAAAATTTAATCCAGAAATAATTTGACGCGACGTACACGACTCGCACTTTACGACAATGACCGACATTTAAATAAATGTATTACGCGCTAAAATTTCATACATTTCGATACCATAATCCATTTATTTCTGCTCCGAATGTTACCGTAACAGTACCTACACTTTAACTGCCATGAAATTGTCAACCGTCATCGGTTTGGAAGCAATTGGAATATTATCAAATTTTCGTAACTGTAACAAATTATATTCCCTCGCGTTTCGCTGGGAACCAGCAGCCATCCATCAAGCTTTTCGTTACAATAAAAATAAAATAATAAAATGGATGCACGATATTTGAAAAAAAAGACTCGCTCGTATCGTAATTTATTATCAACGAACTTTCGTCGTTGATCGCGTGAGAAACCTTCTCTCGATTTTACCGTAAATGGCAATTTATATCGTGGGTTTCGTTTATAAAAATAAGCCCCGTCGGCGGGGGAGTCGGGAAACAGTGAAACTTGATAACACTTCAACATCAAACAACGCCGGCTCATTAAGCATTCATGGCCGTCGATGGGAGTCATTCGAGGTCGAATGAAATCGAATTGCGCGCTCGACACTCGCCGATATCAAATACGGATAATTCCCGTTTCGACGCCGACAGACGTGTTTGCGTCTAGACCGCGCTCGGTGTTTTGTGTATCGTTAGGAATTTCGATCCATGAAAGAGATAATTCCTGCATTCGACTGCACCCTAACCATTCAGATTTAATTAATTATTAACTCCTACCCGACCGACAGTTTTTAAAAACATATTTTGTCCCTCATCTCTGTCGCCTGGAAGTTCTCAACGACTCTCCTCAAGAGAGATCTTAGTAAATAAACTCCTCGTCGAACAAATTACGTATTAAAGCAACGCACAGGGAAGTACGGCGTCGCGTTCGTCTCTGACAGTTACTTCGGGGGGGTTGTCTAGCCGAAAAGTTTGGAAACCACTGGTCCGAACCGTGAAAGATTCGGTGCATACGATTACTACGGTCGTATACCGCGCCGGGAACGGAGTTTCCTCGGATCAATAACATCTTGAGTGTGTACGGGATCGGATAATTGAGTGGCGGATACCTCTCGAAATTCCCATGGAGACGTCCTCGCGGTGAGTAGCTCTCCCTTGATTGCGGAGACAGCTGATTGATGCTCGGGGGTACGATCCCGGCGAACCGATCGACCGCCTTAAGATCGCTGGCTGTTCCTTGGACTATGAAATTTCGGTTTGGAAATCGCCACCAGGAACAGGACGAATCCTTCCCAGCCACGCCTTCGCGACGACATCCGGCACTCGAACCTGGCTAATTTCGTGCTCGCCCGGTTTAACCACCACGCGACGTTTCAATTTCGAATCGGTTCCGCGTCCCCTTTAACCGTCTATATTTTCAACATTTATTAATCGACGATCATAATGCAAGTACCTTTATCATAAACTGATTGCTGTTATATCGCGTGCATTCAATAAAGCTAATTGCTCTATCGCCAATTATATGGTCGATACGAGCCTCTTTCACGGAATGATCCTAATTAAAATGTGTGAAATGCAGAGCGATTCTCTCGCCAGCGACTTCGAAAAAGAGATGTCTCTCCGCTACAGCACAGAGACTAAGAACAGCTGAGAATTCCCACAGTTTCTCTTATAAAAATCCGAACAACGGCGGGGGGCGACGATTTTAAGGAGGTTCGCGATTCAGCGGGAAATTTATAGCGGGGGCCATCCCAGGGAGTTAGGCGTTCCGTTAATAAATTTCAATGCGTCGAGAAGCCCCGGCGAGGGATAAGTCGTCCTCCTGGATACGTGCCCTTATGCATCGCCGGGCAGCTCTCCAGAGCCACTTTTCTCACTTGCCTCAATAGCGGCTAACAGGTCGCATCCTCCACAGACGAGGGTGCTTTACGATGTTTTGTTTCGGCGGCCCTCCAACGCCTCCTTCGTGCTCGCGTGCAAGCACGCCGGGAACGTGGCAGACTTGTCAAACCGTAAGTGAATCGGAAAACTCGACGGCGAGTCGAGTTAACGAAGAACCCGCGAACGCACTCGAGGGCCCCGCTCCTGAGAACCCAAGGGGGGACCCGGCAAGTTGGCCCACTCTGTTTTCGACCATCGTGTGCAACAATGCGGAGGTTTCGCGAAGAAAGAAGCTTGGTCGCGAAAGAGCGTAATTGCGATTTCGCGTCAGGGACAAAACGATCGTATCGCAAATGGGATGCTTTACGATGCATCGTTTACGATCACGCTCGGATCCCCTATTGTTCGTTTCGCGTATTAAGAACAGCATCCACCTTTTTAATAGAACACTTTCATAAAAAGAACCCATAAACGGCGGGAGTAGCAAGGCACAGGGCACTCTTACTGCTATAACTTATAGCACGTGGCATTAATGGCCGATAATGTGACAGTCCTGTACGATATAAAAAGTACGCAACGTTACAGAGCCTCCTTTCACGACGTAAAATCTTTGGTTTTATGAAAAAGGACTATTTCGTCCCTTATGAGAAGCGTCTGTGCTCCTTGTAACTGCCAGTGTAATATTTTCCAAGACTTGGATTCACTTTGACTGCAAACTTTGGATATGTCTCTGATTACGAAACACTGGAACGAAAGTTGAAAGTCTGTTGCATTCTCTGTGCAAGTTAAAGAGAGAAGCCGATAAACGTCACAGTTATGTCTCGTGATTGATGAATGCACGATAGTTCGCAAGGTCCATCATGGCGGCCATGGCAGACAATTGCTGCCGAACGAAGGAACCGTGGGTCGTATACGATGCATTCGGCTCCCTTATGAGAGCAATGCGAGATCGTCGTTAAGAAAGTATCGGAAAAGTTTCGCGTTCCGGCTGGCTCGTTGCCGCGAAACGTAGGGGGGGCAACTTCTTGGCAATAATATACACGTGTGACCCACCTCAATAATAAGAATAACTTTTTCCCTAATGCCTGTGCTCGTCTTGACGTCGGATGCGTCCAACGAATCTTCTTACCAACATGGCTCCGCCCCGAGTTCAATTACGTTCCTCGAGTTTCGCTCGTGCGTGAAATATGACGCTCCTGGCTCGTCGGGCAAACAATGCCACGACGACTCTAATTTCCTGGATAAAAATGGGGACGGATGTAAGCGGAATCGTCCCGGCCTTGTTATTTTCTCAGATATTTATTAACCCACCGACCTGGAAGTCCAAACAAAAAAACTCATTTCCACGAACGTGGGGAACTTGTTTAGAATTATTTCATCGATTATATTGTAAAAAGTTTTATAGTTTCTGTGGCTAAACTGCGTTGACTGTAAAACCGATCCATCCGAGATTCGAGGCTGGAATGAAATGCTTCATTACACGGAGGAGTTACAAGCACGGAAGGGTGGGAGGGGGAGAGAGAGTAAAATCGTTATCCAGATCGTTCGCTAATCGAATTCGAAGGACACCGAACGGAGGTCTCTCTCGAGCAACAACGCGAATGCCAGGCACCGAAGGATCGCGGCGGAATGTTAAGCGGTCGCCGGATTCCATCGCATCTCTCCCCGCTCTTACCTTCGTAAACATAAATCAGTCTGCGCGAGTCGTGGCCCCTTAGAAAGGGGTTAAAAAGGCTCGATGGTTACGCACACGTAAGGAGTCGCCGCGACTCGCGAGAAGTCGCGTCTCGTAATACCTCACACTCGAGAAATATAGTGGCACTCCGAGTTTCCGACCACGAATTCAGTCTTAGAGAAGCCGCCGCAATAAAAGGCTTTAAGAGTTTCCCCGTGTTCGCGCGAATTCAGCGGGATTTGCATGGCACGTCGCGGGGCTGGAACGCCCGCGAGAAATGCGGCCCGAGTTTTTAAACGGCATCTAATGAAGCCAACACCCGGGTACATTGTTCAACCGTTCGTTTGGCCGCGACGGTAACCTAAGAAGGGCATCTGAATGCATGAAACATAGAGTCTGGCCCCGGAGAGAGCGAGAGGTTTGCATATTCATCGGCGTCTAGCTCGTCAACAGGGGGGCACGGTTTGGATCTTAAACGCTAGACACCTCCTCTTCAGCCTTTTACACCGTCCGCCTTGATATCGCCACGTAGGATAATTATGTCTGTCCCATAATCCCGGGCCGACGTTCCCGGTGAGCCCCAGACGCCTAAACGGTCCCCTCCGTCTTCGATGACGATCTCTAACCCGCGAAAATTTGAATACCCGCTGATTACGGGACCGACTAGCTTCTCTCTGCTCCGTCGGGCGTTTTACGTATACCATTAAATTTTGCTTTGCACGCGACACGCGGATCCGACGATCGCGTTATGCATATGCCGCGGCACGTATCGCGCGCGGAATACGCTCGCGTAGAATACGTGACGCAGAGGGTAATGGCGCTCGAACATTCCACGACAATCGCTGTACCATCGAGCCAATAACGCGTAATGGGCTTTCGATCTGTACCGGAGAGATGGGATTCTTAGCGGGATCGATGTCTGCGCGGTTCATCATTTCTAGGCTGTTATCTTTGATATACATACACTGTTATATCAAATTCTCTCTCTCTCCCGCGCTCTATGCAACTTTCACGAACCTAGTCTTTTAAGTGTCGATACTCGAAGTATCTTGGTCGTGGTGGTGGGAGGGAACCGATGGACAGGGCGGCTGGAGGAGACGAAGAAAATTACACGGGGCACGGGACAGGCGGTATTTTGCGGCGCAGAATGTCAATTAAACGGCGTGGCCGATTAACCATAACCGAAACCTCGACAAAGGCCGGAGCGTGCAC